AGATCGTACCGTCGATTTTTGTTTGATGTTTTTGTATTTTTGAAATTTCCATAAACCAGGATGTATATTTGTTTGATGTTTTTGTATTTTTGAAATTTCCATAAACCAGGATGTATATTTGTGATTCGATTTATATACCAATTGTAATGTTTTGGTTTGAACCGGTTTTTGTATACCATAATCAAAAAGAAAAGAACTGGGCCACAGTATGGGCCTTTAAATACAAAGAAAGAGACGATGAATCCAATCCGGTTTTTTTTTTTGTAATTTAGTCGATTGTGATTGTTTAATGGAAAATAAAATACATACACTTGAGAAAGAAGAAACCGGTCTAGATGAGACTAAACCGGGGAAATTGGTCAATTAATTTAAAGCTAATATAAAGCAAGTTTACTTCTGATGTTCGACAATACCTTGATGATGACATGGTTTGCATAGCTTGTAGCTCTCGAGATATATCCGACGATGTTGTTTGTATTTAGTTTCTTCATAAGAGAAGCTGTTTAAGTGAAAACCAGAGTCGGTTTCCTTTGAACCCGGTCGATGTTCTTCTCGGGTTTCCTTCTTCATCCCACGCAGTTGAGAAAACCAAGTTCGATATTGTCGTCTCCATTCTCTTCTTGCTCGTATGTAAAAGAGTGTGGGTTAATTCCTTATTTGAAGTTGCTTCTTTGGTGTCTTATTGCGTATTGTTAATCAGTTGCTATATATATATAGAGAGAGAGTCGGTAGTTTTATCTCTCCTATAACGTTTTGGGTTTATATTTACTTATTAATTACATATTTGCTTTCGTTAAAAATGATTTTTTTTTTCTCAAACCCATTAAAGGAAAATCTTATCTTTGTTTTCATAGTACAAACCTTAAACCGACTTTGATAAAACCTAAGGTGGAAAGAAAAGGAAATGTAGAAGTTAACAACAACACACAAAAAAGGAAAGGAAATAAGTTTATACAATAATCACTTCTCGTTATATAAACTAACTAAACTAAATCATGTTTGGTAACATTCTTTTGCTTTAGCCAACCACAAAAAAAAAAAACATAATGGTTGAGTTCGTGAATCACTACACGGTTCTGGGGTTACCTCCTAATGGCGAAGACGATGATGGTGTGAAGATCAACACGGAGCAGATTCGAAAAGCTTATTTGTGTAAGGCATTGAAACTACATCCTGATAAAAACCGAGATGATCTTAATAATGCTCACGAGAGATTTCGTAAGCTCAAGACTTCTTATGATATTCTCATCGATCCAAAATCTAAAGAGATTTTTGATAATCTTCTCAGGGAAAATAAGTTCGAGAGACAAAATTCTTGGAAAGATGATCCCGACGTTTGGAACAATATTCCGGAATATGACAAGGAATAACATAATAAGAGAACTCAAGGGGATCCCAAGTTTTGGAAGAAGTTTC